GCAAGCCAGCTGGATTCTAGCGTGATCAAGAGCAAGCTATCTCAATTAGAAAAAAAAAAGAAAACTCTAGAAGAGCAATATTCCGCAAAGCGATCACGGGCTCGCTCCGCGCGGACTGGGCTGAACCTTGAAGGATGTCCGCTTCTTGTGCTCCCTGGGAATCTGAGCCCTGATAACTTTCTGCGAGAATGTCCAAGCCTGTATGCCTGCAAGTAGGAAAAAGTGAAAGTATGCTGGCAAATAGGAAAATAATGCTAATCGATTTGAGATAAGAAGTCCCTCCTGACCAATTCAAGATGCCGTGAAAAGCCAGATTGCCATTGAATATGAAATTGTTTCCTTCAATTTTATGCCGCTCCTAGCCAAATTATGGCACGAAAAAGTATATGGGAGAGGTGAGAGTAAAATATTTTTTTCATGCGTGGTTTTTTCTGCTCTTGAGCTCTATTACTGCTTGGAATCAAGAAAATGAGAAACGGTTTTACCTATTGAAACCACCATGACATATTTTCCTAATTCCTGAAAGAAGGCACCAACATTTAGATAGCATTGTTTATTTCCAATGTGAAGAAAATATTAAATGTGTGCGTTTGTGCGCGTGCGTGTTTCAAGTGAAGGGGAGAAAGTACGAGCATACTAGTATATTCCAATCACTGGCACACATTCAACCATTTGAAGAGAAGAAGGAAAATGCCAATGAACGAACGACAGGAAACCGAATCTTCAATCTCGAAATCCCTCTTAAAAAAAAAGCATTAAACATGTCAGCATCCCATAGGGCATGTGGAGTTAGACTCCCTCCCCTCTTCAGATCATGAACTTCGCTTAGCATGCGTCCTTACTGACAGCGCGAGCTTGAAGGCGACATTCCGCCTCATTCCACCTCTTACCTTAAAGGGACTTCTCACTGACTGGAAAAAATCGGCAAAATCAAAGATTGATTCTTAGAGGGCTTTTTTTTCCTTAATAGATCACTTTTCTGGATTTCATTTTGCCTTCATGGCAGGCAAGACATTTAATGAAAACTACCATCTGTACTGAACAAAGTATCAAGCAAATAGAGATAATATTGGAAAGGAATAATTTTCCCTCGCCTGGAAGGTAAGGAATGAGAGAGGAGGGGGACTTCACTGCAAGCCACACTCATAATCCACTACAAGGTCCCAAGCGTTTCACTGCATTTATGCCGTGTTCTTTCGTATCCGTGCATGTTCCATGGTGGCTTCCAAAAATCACATATTTTAGCTAAATTTTCGCACGTTAGATTGCCTTCAGCTAATGAAGGGGGGGGGGGGGATGCGGATAAATGAGATTTTATGATAGATGGAAGTCTGATGCCTCCAAGGTCACTGTAATTTTCATGCACTTGGATTATGTAATTTTTATTCACGAGACACCTCCGTTAGATTGAGCGTTTCGATGCTTTATCATTCCACGAACCCTTCAAAGTGGAGGAATTTCTTTACATAAGTGATGTAAGAACTCACGGCATGTTCGAGTCTATCATGGAAACCGAATACCATTCAAGACATTAAAATTCTTGACCAATGATGATCTTACGCCTTTTCCAAATCGTAAACTTTAAGGATGGATAAGATTTAACGAAGACAGAGATAGCTCTGACCCTGAAACACTCCTCCCCCACTTATTTTTGTTAACAGAGTTTGGTCTCCTTCAATTTTGGGAGGCAACCCATACCTCGAACCGACTCTTATTAAGACGACATCTTGCATCGATGTACAAGTCGCAACAAAAACGAAGCATGACGTGTAGAAGTGCCATAGTGCAGGGCAAGCGTGCTTCATTCTACGAGGACCGAGAAAAAGGTCCCAGACAGAATTTTTAAAAATAATTAATCCATTGAAGGAAATCACATCATCTCATAGCCTCTGTGAACCCTTTGAGCGTTTTTTTTTTGTAAACGTCGAACCTGATCCGACAGGAGAGCGAAAAAGCTCAAAGTCGTCCATTTAGGTAGCCACACACTTTTTCCAACTGTCTTATACCTGCGTGAAACAAGGTTCCAGGACATTTTCTACAAATGCCTTCAGCGCTGTCGCCGTGACTGCTTGCGCCTCTTCGACGTCATCAATATGACGATTTTTTCAGGTGAAACTTCAGGTGCGAAAAGAAAGTGAGGCTTCACGAAATCAGACTCAACAGCTTCTCATACATCCGTCGCAGGCGAAACATGAGAGAAAGAGCAGAGGAAAGGAATAAGGCAAGCTCGACTACATCCAAGGTCGTTTTGTTAGCAGCAGGAATCGTATCGTAACTGTAAAAAAAAAATGAAATGAAATTATCCCTTATCGCAGATATCATAGAGGATTATAGCTCTTAGTGTGAGGAGACACCTGCAGCACAACGCGCCAGGGATGCTATGTAGTCCACTGATGTTTCAGGCACTGTTCCCTTTTTAAGCACTGGTACGCTGTACGAAAGCAGTTCGTACTGTAGGTCTCACATAGAGAGTGGTGCATCGTGGAAATGAGCCAAGAGCTAGGTTTGGGTCTGTCCATGACAAGTGGTCCTAGGAATTTAGACGGAAATTTCCCTAAATATGCAAATATTACTTTCACTGCAGAAGTTCATTAGCTCTTTTTCCAGAAGACATGAATGAAGGAGAATATTACATGGAAAATGACAGAATTAGTCATGAGTATGATATATTATTCATACCACTCTCATGATACTAAAAAATGTGGTGAAAATGCAAACCTAGAGACTGACTTGGACTAATGGAACAGATGCCGGCATGAGTTCTAAATGCATACTGATAATTTCAAATCAGCTCAGGTGTGACGAGTAATGTCAATTGTTCACATTTGAATGATATATTTAAAATAACATTAAAAGACATGTACATATTTCTCATTTTAAAATCTAAGTACATGTCACATCCGACACGGTCACAAAATAGGCTTACTGTACTTTCTTTTCTAAGTGTTGTGATCTTGGGGTGACTTACACTAATTCTAGGCTTCATTTAATCTATAGAATAAACATATAAACTAAATTATTAGGATCCGCTCGATGTGAACATTAGAGCAAGTGACTTTAACTTGAGGTTTCACGAAATGTCACGTCTGACACTTTTCTTTGCACATAAGAACACCTCTAACCAAAGAGAGAGTGCAAGACTTTGGATTATGGAATTTTCAGTCACTACCTAAAGCGAATTGTTGCAGCCTTTATATGCTGATTCGTCAATTATAATATAGTTAAATGCATTTCGTATGCTCAACATATTACTCCGGATGTCACGTCGTACACGGTGGACAGACCCTATTGCAAAGAGCACCTTGAAGTGCTCCCTTTTGCCCCTTATTAACTCTAAAGCGCCAGGCCTTGAAACTGTTGCACGAGGGTGAGTCAGAAATATTCGCCTTTTTTTCTAAAGTCGTACCTTCATGGTCACCACCAATTCCGCATTTTATCACCGGTCATCATCTCGTCCACAAAAGTGGAGTCAGCGCGGCTCCTCGAGGCCTCAGCGGTTGCACGCTGCTCAGAACTCGCAATTGCGACATTCTGTCTATCCACTGGTATACTCGTCAATCATGCATACAATGTCTAATCGAAGATGACGTGTAATCTGCCAAAAGATGGAAAATACTGGGACATGAAAACACGGAGGATCACTCAATCAGTACGAGTACATTTTGACTCAGCTTCGTATGTTTGAACAACAATATCTGTATCAGTCCGTGGCCTCAATTGATTGTCCTCGATTGATTTCCGCTCAACGAGTCCAAGGTATGATAGCTTGGCATACAGTTGTATTGTACGGTACGGTAACAACAGCTCCATGTTCTTTCCTCATGCTATTATTTTGAGATCTTCCAATCTAATGACGGCCACACGACCATCCACCCCCCACCAAGCCAAGTTACACCTTATGCTGTCTGTGTCAGCAATGCCATTTTGCATTTATCCCTCGCTTCGACTATGACGAATGACGGTGAAACGTCAACGAAAGCATGGATTATGTTGTGTTCGCATTTGAATTATCTTTACACTACGGTTGAACACTATTGGGATTTATATTTGCGATCGATAGATTTTTGCCTTCACGACCGCCAATAAGATTAGCTGCAATAACGACCTCACATGTAATACATGTTGAGCCGTATCTGGCATGGCTATATTGTATAAGGCAGTGGCATGTATACGACACGAAAACTTTGAATTCCAACGTCACATTTGACCTAGAACATCTATATTGTGGAGCCTTCGCGATTCCTTGTATAGAAAGAAATATTTAAGGAGGATGAGAAATAAGACGCACCACACTGAGATAATCCAGAAGGAGGGGGTTATGGTTCAGTTTCCTTGGGTGTCGTCGTATTTAATGTATGCTATCTCGTGACAGAAAACGATAACGTACATTGATGCGAGTGAGAATGAAATTTCGAAGAGTCTCGATGATCGAACATCAATCATCACATCGAACGGAAATCTCACAAGAAAAATTGTCAATAATTTCAGGGTCATCCTCGAGGATAGAAAACTGCACCCACGAAACAATATTACGAGGTTTTGGAGGTGCTTTGTAGATTAGCAGGAAATAAAACATATGAATGCATCGTTGGTGGAAATGTGGTGAAGTCTGTGATTCGTATGACGCAGTACAGGACGCATGTACGTAGGCACGCAGAGTTATCAAGAGATAACGCAAAGCACATTTTCGCCTGTGATGTTTCGCATTTTGTGATCTCGTCTCTTCCTTCTCTGCAAGCCTGAAGTGAGTCAATTGTAAAGAAGTTTCCGAAGTGTTGTCTCATCCCGATCTCATTAGAGCCCCTAGTAAACCTCACAAACAGGATTTATTTTTTAAAATAAATACTGCAGAAGCTTTAGAAAAAAATACTTGATAGGCTTACATACGCATCTGGCACGCAGTTCAACGTGTGAATGCTAACAGAGTTTTCATCAGCATCGAAATCTCAAGCGTCTCGCATCTTTCCTTTATCCCTACTAGAAGTACAGGAATACATGAGATGACAGATGATAAGAGAGAAGGGGAATCAAGGCTTCAATGTGAATCCCTTCCTATTCACCGGAATACCGCCTTGGAAGAAAGTCTCATCGAATGTCGTCAAAGAGGAGAGAAGGCTTCGTCCCAGAACGAGGGAGACATTGTCGTCAGCAAGTCCGTGAGCCCGACGTGTCTCATGGATGCAATAGCCAAGGGAGATTTCAAGTCAGCGGCAGCCTTGCTCAACGGCGGTTCCCAGGTGAAAGCAACGGAGGAAAATTCCTGGACGGCCTTGCACGAGTCAGCCAAACAGGGTCGCGTCGATCTCACTCGACTCCTCCTCGAACATGGGTTTAATATCAACGCCAAGGAAGGTAGTGCTGGAAAGACTCCTTTGCACCTCGTCGTGGAACAAGGCTCTCGATGCGGTAAGAACAGCTTCCTGGAAGTGGCCAAGATGATTTTAAAATGTCCAGGAGTGGATCCCAATATGAAGGACGTCCACGGAGATACTCCTCTGCATTATGCCATGCGAGAGAGGAATACCAAATTCCTTCGACTCCTCATCTTTTTTGGTGCTCGGATCGACGTTCCGAACTCCTCTGGTGAGGCCGTGTTACCATATCTCATCCGTAAACATCCGAAGCTCGCTTCCGAGGCCTTCGATCGCTGCCTGATTCTGAACAGCCTTTCGTCCGAGGATCCTTACCTCCGACTGATATTCAATTATCAGATCTTCGATATCCTGAACAGTGCGGGGACGAAAAATGAGAAAGACTGTTGCAGAAGAGAATCAGTGATCCCGAAACTAATCGTGAATTCACGGAATCATTCGCTTCTCACCCACCCACTGTGCTTGAGTTTCCTTCAACTCAAATGGCATTACTTCCGACGATTCTATTACATCAATTCATTTCTGTTCTTCCTCTTCGCCGTCAGCCTCACATCCTTCGTCATGACTTCTGTCAATGCGTTCCGTCAGAGCGCCAATGAGACCTCGGCAATTTATGGGGATGTGTTGCAATTGGATTATGCTGATAAAGCACTTTGGTATGGGCTTTTGCTGTTCACGGCATATATTGCCTTCCGGGAATTCTACCAGTTCCTCTCAAAACCTTCGGATTATTGTCGAGATCCCGAGAACATCTTCGAATTGATCGTTGTGATTGGCGTCCTCATGATCTTATTTCGAGATATGCTTCCAGTGGGCATGTTGATCCATGCATCGGCTTTGGTCGTCCTGGCAGTATGGGTGGAGGTGATGTTGTTGCTCGGCAGACACCCAACCTGCTCCGTCTACGTCTCCATGCTCGTCGACGTGTCCAAGAATGTCTTCAGGATCCTTGCCATCTTTCTCATCTTACTTTTTGCCTTTTCCCTCAGCTTCTCCATCTTGTTCATGGAAGATAGGGACTTCGATTCCTGGTACCAGGCCCTGGCGAAGACGACTGTGATGATGACAGGGGAATTCGACTATTCCAACCTTCCGTTTTCGTCCTATCCTGTCACAAGTCACATCGTTTTCCTCGGATTTGTCCTCGCAGCCACGATTGTCCTCATGAATCTCTTGGTCGGTCTTGCCGTCAATGACATTAAACGAATTAACGAAAAGGCCATCACCTACAGTATTTTCCGACAGGTAGTCCTCATGGCCTACATAGAGAAAATGCTCTTTTCACCCGTAATCAATTGGTTTCCAGATTTTATAGCCTCGCGATGGAAGTCCATGGCTGAGAGCACCTTGGTCCTTAAGCATCTCCCCAATCTAACTCTGTGCACATTTCCTAACAGTAAAACCTCCGGCTCGTTGAGGGTGCTGCGATCCAGGGAATCTAAGATAGATCAAGAGGTGCTGGAAAAAGGAATGGGGAAAGACGAGAACGAGCATTGTTCTGATCCGGAGTGTCAGTGCTGGGTGTCGATGAGGCGCCATGTCAGCGCTGAAGCGATCCAGGATGCCGTCGACGTCGCTTTCAAGGTGAGAACTTCGAAAATGTCTGAAGAGAAATCTACTACCAACTGGAACAATGCCGAAGAAGTGGCCCAGACCATAGCATCGATTCGAGACGAAATAGTGTCTCTCAAGATGGATATCGCGGACATTAAAAACCTCCTTCGTGTTCGATCAAATTCTACAGTGTGATATGTTTGGCGGAGTCGCCCTGAGAACCGAGGAAAAAGGAAGGATGGGAGCTCGCCTGACACCTCATCTTACATTCACCATTCTCCAATAACATATTTTGTAACCCAATTTTACATTCATTTTGTAACCCGCACTTAGACGCTTCTAATTCATTTTAGGCACGCTGTAAATAAAGAATGTTGACTGAAGAATTGGTGTAAAGCAATTGCGATTCTGGCAAATTGAAAGCTGTTTTCGTCAATGAGGACTGAGATGGATTTGGAGACATAACAGTTTTGGCATTGGAGTGTTCCTTTCGGCGTCTATTAGCAAACATGTCTTCCATTGCTCTCCGATACGAAATGGAATGTGAAATATGGCGATTGAATTGAAGATAGTCAACGGAATATGCAGTTTTTGTTGAAATCTAAGTATCGTAGGGCAGATAAGATAAGAAACCAATCGAGGATGAAAGTAGGTACTTCAGTGACATTTCTGCATTCAAGTGGATTGTACGTGCAACTTTACCCACAGCCTCCCAAGTAACACAGTATGTTGATGAAACGTTTCCGAAATGTTGCCTATGTTGCTCTATGTTGCAAGTTCCTGTACAACATTGAGAAAACATTGCTTCAATGTTTTCACTTGGAATGTTGCTGTGACACTTCTACGAATGTCATTGCAACATTAGCTATCAACATTGAGAGAATGTTGACACTCTTGACATCGACAACGTAGCGACAACATTCTGATACAACATGGACTTAGAAGTTTTAGAGAATTGTAAAGTTGTCCTCCTTGCCACGAGATGGAGACGTAAGTCTCGCTTTCTCACAGTACACAAAAGTGCCCTTCTCCCTTTCCCTGGAATAGTCCCGCACAGGAATGTCTAGTACCTTGCCATATGTCTCACATTGTCTCATTATAGGAATCAATGAACACGGACACTTCATCACCTGTTATCTTCATTTTCTAGACAGATTAATGGGGTCAAGATAGAAAAAGCTCATATTCCCAAAAAGAACCCTTTCCAAGAACGGGACAATAAAAACGATGGTAGAGAGTCTGCGATCTCAATACTTCATATCCTCATCCTGGGTACTAGCTGAGGAAACGAAGGATTGATCTCGTGGACATTCCATAGAACATTCCGGTCGGACCTTTTCCTGTATTGTGCAATTTAGCACATCCAGGGGAAGATCACCTCCAAAAATGTACTGTCTCCTGCCTGTACATGATACAGATACTGTATTATGCATGGAGTAGGGGTTATACCAGTACAGGCTTCGTCCTGTTGATGAGAATGTACGAAAGGATGAAATAAATAATTCAATATTGGTCGAATATCGGTCCAGTTCAGGACCAGTGAAGCCTACGCTTTTCCGTAATGCCAATATAGGCCCAGATTAGGTGCCCGTGAAGCAACGTTTTTAATCAACATTGCAGCAACATAAATCCTGAAACGTATCTGCAACGTATATGTAATGAATAAGTAGCGATTTGCAACGTAAATGCAATGTTCCTTCCCAACATTTGAGCAACGTTGACGTTTTGGACATTTACACATAGATGCAACATTGTTCATCAACATTTCCTAAACGTTACTGGAATATCTTGTGTTACTTGGGGCTGTCAAGGGGAAATTGTTTTGAAGGGAAGGATAATGGATTTTTTTTTCCCAAACGAAGAAGACCTAGATGACCGGAGAAAAAAAAAAAGAAAGAAATTTCGCCCTTTATCCAGTTCACAGTGCAAAAATGCAAAAAATCAAAGCTCTCTAATATTGGAAGTTGTCACCCACGATGTCTGTTATCGCCCCCGACAAACAGATGCTGATAATGAAAAACGAGTCAGAATGAAATTTCAATAGGGAGAGTTAACCACAAAATTTATTGAAAAGGGGGTAGGGGTGTACCGACACAGGACGGGTGACCTCTTTCAGGGTGGGATTTTGGGTTCAAACTCCCATCCCTCCCTCCCCCATCGGGACGCGCCTCCGATGCTAAAACGCGCCGAAAGATTTCTGATATTGTAGCTTTCTTCCTGTTACAATGATCAGATTGAATAGCGAGCACATCAATCATATGTGCCGAAACCTCATTTCCAGTAAACAATTTCGGTCATCAAATATCCTCCAATTTTTGTGCAAATGACGAAATATGATGAAAAACGCAGGAATTCAGACTTTGGATGCCGAAATGGGTCCTTACATACTTGCATGCTGAACTGGAAGATAATCTGATCCCCAAATATACGTCCAGAACGTTGCTTTCTAAATACTCAACGACTAAACTCTTTTTTCTTTACGGTAAATGGGAGAATGCTCCGAAAATGAGTTTTAAAAGCTATTTAGGAGCGGATTACAAAAGGGTGTCCTCTATTTTTGTCAGATACTCAATGTGAAAAAAAAAGTATTCTCGGAAAAAGATTTTCTTTTTTTAACCCAGCTTGTCTGCATGCAAACTCTTTTACGGATAAATGGAGACGACAGGCCTTCACACACGAAAGGGTTTTAGACTGACAAAAATTGCATGCCCTTCGATCAAAAGAAATCTCCAGTTTGAATTTCAAGAATTTCAGGATGAAATATGGTTCACCTGCATACAACATGGGTTGTATTTGGCGATGATGACATATTTTATCTTGAATGTATCAATATCATGAAAATTGTGACGGGGAAAATGGGAATGGCTCCTTCTCACGCACACTTCCCAAGTTCTTCCTAGAGCCACTCAATTTATCAAAATCATACATCATAACACCGTAAGTTAAGACTGGCATCATTGGTACCCGGAAGGGTAGGCATTTAAGAACGCCGAACATCTTTCACATTTTAGAATTCTGCATTTTGAGGTAAGAACTTCCATTGACATTCAAGAACAAAAATATATATTCTCCGTCGTAGTATTCTGGGTCTTTTCAATCTTTGGCTTTGATACCAAAAATTGCGCTCAATTTTCAATGTTTTCTCCGTGCAACATTTACATCCGTCTCAGCATGCGCTATTCCCATGCATTTCTTTTCTAGTCCAGCTATAACTTAACATCGATACGTAAGGGTCGTTCTTATCTTGTCATTTCGATAAAGGTGCTGTTACACATCGGCTGAAAGAAAAGAAAATCGGATCTTAGTATTCTTTGGGACGTAAAATCCCAAAAGTCACCTCACCCGATTGATGCAGAAAAGCGCGGATCTGGCATAATCGGAACAACTCTAGCAACCATTAGTTTTGAAAATCACTTTTCAATTGGATTGCACCCGAAAGATAATATAATTCATTATATGCTACGTCATGGCACCAAAAAGTAGTTCATTAGTGGTACTCGGTCATGCACAATTCGCATGCTCAATTCATGAACCTTCCGTTCATACGAGACGCGAATTCCCTGTCTGTGATGTGCTGTGGAGACTTCGAAAGGCGAACTGAAGATGAAGCACAAGGAACTACAGAATAGAAAGTATTTCCTCCTCTGTGGCGCATGGATGGGGGAGGAAGGAGCGGGGGCGACAGAGGTTTTATTATGGTGAAGGAATCGGAGTGCGTCAGCGGTATGCTTCTCGCCTCATGTCCTCCTCCACATGTTTTTCTATGGGATTCCAGAAATCTATGAAAATTGACATTGCCCAAGAGCAGGAACACAAAGAGCCAGTAACTCTCCGGCGCATTGGGGCTCTAACCTAGTAAGGCGTAGACAATGACGTGGACATGCTTTCTTTTCCAACTGCATCTCCTGTTGCCACGTTCACACACGCTTGAATGTTGAACGAAATATGACCCGAGATGGATACATGGTCATGCACGAGTTCAACATGTTTGATACCGTTTAATGATGAACGCCGATATCGCCATGGTGCGAATTCTACGTCACAGGGGAGTGCAACCTTCATTGGCAGTGGGCCGCATGGAAATGCGACATCACACGGGCCATACAACGCAAAAGAAAAGGCTCCCTTTTACCCTCTTTTTTTTTTGTTCAATGACCTTTCATTTACACAGCATGCCCTTTACAGAAAGAGGATACAAGGTGCGGACATTTGGAATATACAATTGGGGGTATTGAGATAATTGATGGTGCGTTGGGGTTGGAGCGAAGTCTTGGACTTGGGTGGGTCCGCGGCCAGCCACCAGGAGGTGTTTTCAGGCCAACCTTTTACCCTCAGGGCATATGAGGGGGTAAGGTCGCGCTGATTGGCCGATGACCCTTACCTCTTCTCCTCCCCTAGGAAATTCCAACGCCCAACAATAGCCTTTGGCATTGAGAACCTTCTTCCTCGGAACACACGTAGCACCGCCCGCGTGAGGAATAATTAGGGAAAGGAAGTGAAAGGGCTCGCAGTCTATTTCTAGTTACTAAGGGATGACTCACGTTGTGATGGGGCCTTGCTTAATTTATCCGTTATCCAATTATGCCTTACCGGACCGCGGGTTGCACATCCCTGTACTACGAGATGAACCACTTGAGTCGCGCGCACACACACATTATATACACCCACTCCTTCCCCCTCCCTCCACCCCTGACAAAAACCAAAATAACCTTCAAGCGGAATCCACGGTACATCTACTAGCGACAAACTGGCCGTAAAAAGCCTCCAGCTTTCCAGTCCGCTGCTCTCATGATTTTGTAATGGATGATTCTTGGTCTGATTTGCAAGAAGACGAAAGGCAAAAAGGGTGAGGAAACGATTTCAAACGAGAGCCGAAAGGTATAGGAATGAAGCATCACTACTGCACGAATGGAGGCAAAGCTCGAATTCGATAAGTTTAATTTTACCTGGATGGGGATGGCCGGATGATCCCTTCCTCTTCAATATGACTCAAATTCATGTTTTGCTTCAAAGCAGGATGAAATCGGAGATGAAGCAGGTGCTCGTTCCGCAAATAAAACTCCTTGCCAGTTGAGTTTCTTGACAAATAATGTGACTTTTACAGTTGGAAAGGCCTACTAGTCTTGTCCAACTGTTGAAGTACGGTAACGCAGTAGGTAGTTCTCTCGGTGAACAAATCTGAATGTACATGCATGCTGTATCGCAACCAGAGTCTGGTATCATGGGTTTAACACCGATAATATGGAGTTTACAAGTTCGAGGTCAGACAAACGGAGCTGCACAGAAGCCGTCATTGATGTCCAAGCCATAGCCGGCGTCGACCCATATCAACAGCGTCCATTCGGCCGAATTCAGCGTCCATCCAGAGTCTCTTTTTTTCATCCAATTGATTCGTATTGGATCCAAAGTCTTTCGAATGAGATTTCACGATAAGACTCATTGAGTTTGTCGCACTACGTAATTTTCACCCAGCATGTGGGATCACCAAAACGTTCCTTCGTGGAATTTTCAGTCTTATTCGAGCGGCAAAAGATGATACATTAGGAATCGGTTGCTAAGAGCTGAGGTGCTGCCATATCCCCAGCTCTTCATGACAATAATCGGTCACTTCATCCTTGCCTCAACATTTCAGCATGACAACCCTCACCGAGTGGCATCATGCGATTAAAATAGGGCCCTACGACCCGAAATTATAAGGGCAGGAAGACGAACAGACAGCTACACTTTCTTGGATCCAACGATGTATATAAATAAGGAAGAGTGGCTATCCAAAAGTTCGTGGACTCATGCCATAATTCCTCACCGCATTAATCCGTGTTCTTAGGGACTGCTCTATTTTAAAGCAACCTCCCTCATTTGCTTGCACGATCCAGTCGAGACTAAATTCCAAATAGAAGCCATTTTCTGCAACAAAACAAGTTGCAGCGGTGGCGATCTACTGTACTGTACCTGCCAACGCGTGATGGCGTCTTCGCGCGAAGGATCAACCAGAAATAGCAAAAAGCAAAATCTGGTGAATATGGAAGGGAGAGGAGGGTGTGATGGGAAAGGTGTTCCAAGAGGGTCCTTCCAAGAACTTCCAAGAAGACCGCAGCGGCTCGTATCTCCCATGTAATATGCACCTATGCATCGCCATGCTGCAAGAACAACCCAAGAACGTAAATTAAACAGGAGACACAAGCTAGTGTTGCCTACTTGATGGTTATCCCTTGGAATACTTCTCCCGCCACCCCCCCACCCTTTCACCATATTCATCAGATCTTGCTCCTTGCGATTTTTGGCTGTTTCTTCTCATAAAAGTGCCATCGCATGGTCGCCGGATAGAAGTCAATATCGAAAAGAAGATCGCTTCTGCTGAAGCTCGTCTTATCTCAGAAAATAGCCCCCATCCGGCTTTACAGTCCTGACGATATTCAAAAAACCGTTGCCTGGGAGCCAGATTGTCATGGTGATAAATTATCAGTCCACTTGCTTTTTTATATCCCCCTCGTACGTAAAATCCAAACACGTGGAAGCGAACTGAGAAGTTCCCCATCGAAGAGGAAATGCGCATCGGGAAATCTCACGAGATTTAACATCACCGCTGCCATGGCGACGACCCGATGTGCATGCAGATCAGGCAAAGCTTTCTCCTACCCTTTCTCGTTTGGCATCGTTTCGTTTCGCTTCTAAGGCAACATGCAGCCCCGTACCGAGGAAATTTGGCGCCCTGTGCGAGATAACAGTCCAGCCCCCCCTCCTCTCTCTATACCTCTCAAGCTTTCCCAGCACCAACAATACATTACGTTTTAATTTATGTTTAATGTAGCTCAATTCAGGATAATTTTGCAATTTTTAAATAGTTTTATTCATATTTTGTAATAATTCGGAAGTCAATCGGCGCCCCCTTCAGTTCAGTGCCCTGTGCGGGGGCACCGCTCGCACACCCCTTGTTACGGCACTGGCAACATGCCATTCCATAATGGTCGAGCAGAGATGGTAAGATGGCTCATCCATCTCCAGCTACATATACTTCCTACGGCACTTCCTACGGCATTAAGTTCCACTTAATCTGACTTCATCATATGCTTCTAGGGCTACAAGCCTCATCCAATGAAACTAACTCTCATACTTACGCCGTTTTAAAGTAGGCTGTCACGATAGCAGTTTTCAAAACATCGATGCATCGACCTAAACTATCGACAGTGTACCGATGCGTCGGGGGGGGCAGAGGATTCCATCTTTTCTCGCCGCGATCGGAGCGCGGACGTCTATCCGGCTTTTATTATCTCACGCTTGTGATCCGGGGTGCAAGGGGAAGGTGTGACCTTCGCAAAGAGTAATGAAACCAACCATGCTATCCGTCAACCATATCACCCATGCAACCAACCATCGAAGACGACATCCATCCATCGATGGATGCATCAGGGCAGCCCTAATTTCCTTCGTTCCACACTGTCTTTGGACATCGGCGCCGGCAGATAGGAAACCTGCCGATGGTGCCAAACCGACAACCCTAGAATAAGCAACATCCACATTCACTTTGATTTCACCTCGGGTAGAAAAACGCCCCAAGTATAAAACGCCCTAAGGCAAGTTAAGAATTAAGAAAGTTAAGCCTGCATACTAAAGTGATAGGAGTATAGAGAGGGGATTAACCAATGTCCGTTTCGAAATGAAGGGAGTATAAGAACAGTCCACTACCGCAGCATGCACCTCATGAGATCGAGCCGGAGACTGAAACTGACGTTTAAAAAAAAATAATAATATTCTCGCCTTTCCCACTTCCTGTCTCCGATCCGACTTTTTTTCCCCCTTCCCGTCTTTTATGTAGTCAGTCCCAGCATTTCCGGAATTTGATTGTGATGAGAAATCGCAAGCCGCTTCTTCCTTTCCCCGCCGGGACGGACTGTATTGAACTGAACTCGCCTCGATCCAATGGGACATTTCCCCTTTAAAATCTTTTGCCGATGCATCGCGATGGTCGAAAAAACTATCGATATCTCCAACTATCGATAGCGGTATCGATGCATCGACCTATCGTGACAGCCCTAGTTTTAGCTAGAGCAAAGTGGCGACTTCCCGAACTAAGTTCTGGACTTATTTCTGATCCCCTAGCAAAAAAGGGGTTCGAAAGGTGAAAACTAGACTCAGCACATGAAACCAAAACATTATTCCTAAGATTCAAAATTTTGTCTCCATGAATCAACCTCAAAATGTTTACCTTACTTGAGAAAAATAAACTTCAATTAAAGCATATAAGGCGAGACAAATTCGGACCCTGCTATGAAGTCCGTCCCCTCGTTAATTCAACGTAATAAGAAATCCAAACCTCTTTCAACCAAATTATACCAATGCCCAGTCAAAAAAAGGGGAATGGACAGTGTGCACATATTCCTCTCGAATGGCGCAAATTCCAACACTAATTCCAAATCATAGGCGAGGGGGGCAGATTTTAAGCTTAAGGGAGTTGAAATTTGTATCACTTACTCTACCATGCCTCATCCAATACTGACAATGAATTATTAAGTTTTGCTACCCAGTTTAAACTCCCAACTGGAATATTCCAGCTGGACCAGATCTGCAAATTCGGACCATTTCCAGCTGGCAAAGAGCTGGAAAATAGTAGGTACCAGTTGTTTCTTAGCTGGAACTTTCCAGTTTGAATTTATAAAGATCCTACAGTTGGAATGTAGCTAAATTTACAGTTGAAATCAGCTGATCCTGTAGATGGACCTCTGACAAAAATAGTCAACAAAAAGATTCAGCTAGTGATATAGCAATTAGGAGTAAATCTGGAGATGAATGATTTCCAGCTGTTACCCAGTTGGAATGGGTCCGAATTTACTGCTGGAGTCCAGCTGGAAATTATAGCTGTTTCCAGTTGGGATTTTAAACTGGGTAGTAACAAGAAAACTCTAGTTTCAGTGCAAGTCTATTATCGGGTTCGCAAATGCAGCTGCCTGTTTGGATTAAAAAGGGAACAAGGATGATAGGAAATACCGTTCATTGACTTCCCAGCAAAACACAAGACAACATGAAACAAATGTAGACAAATATTGGGTGCGAATGGTTTAAATTGACATCCCTCCCAATTGGTAATTGTGGAAAAATTGTGGAAATGGCGAGGGGAAGGGAATTATTTATACAAACAGAGCAAGAAGGTATAAAATCTTACACATTGGCATACAAAGATTTACAGTAAAAAGGAATGCACGAGGAAAGTATGTTTAGTAGAATGTGTCGAATGTGGAAGGTTTCAACAAGGATAAGATCCTGAGTTCTGTTTCCTCAGAGAGTCATGTCACACTATAACATTTTGACTTGTTTGAGATCATGAAAATAACTTATAGATCACTTAGGATTTTTCTTTCAAACAGGAGTGATCATATAATGACATGGAAAATAAAAATAAGACCTGTACAAGAAAAAAAAAACCCTCTAATGTCACTGTTCATCATTGCTTGATGAAGCAATCATTCCATCAGATAAAAAGAGATGAAATCTTGTTGAGATCACTCAATGCAATGCCCATGAGAATCAATCATTGACAAGGAATCAGTACTAAACAGTTCAATCAGATTGCACATCATGGAAAACCACTAAGCTTCAGAAGTTTAAAGAGGATCTACTGGAGAGAATTGGAAGTAGCAATACTAATATAGCACAGGTCAGTCGTCAAAGGAGTTGCTTCTTGAAGCTAAGAGAATTGAGTCGGAGCCGTGCCTTCCCCATTGGGTCACCAGACCAGGACTTGCTTTTTGCTTTGAAGTGCCGCAGCTCAGCAGCATGGCTAGAGTGAAGCATTGGCCGATATGCACCTTGTGGGTCACAGAGATGTGGATATTTCTCATGGAATGCCTTATAACCCCCATCTAAAATGTATATCTCTGGGAAGTGAAGTGTTGGATAATTCTCGCTGTTCATCTTGCGATCTTCCTTTCGTAAGAAGCGGAGTAGGGATGGCCCACGCTCAGAGGAGAATTCACAGTGGAAGATGAGGATATCCTGGGCCTCTGATGACTCTGGACTCCTTTCCAAAGATGAAGATGGTTGTAGAGCTGTCCTGCATACTTGTTTTGGAAGTAGAGCCTCTAGCACTTGATCTTTTGTATATAAATTCACAGCATTTCGGATATGGCCTCCTTCATATTCATATGGGAAACGGCAGTCAATGACCTTGTAAGGCTGATGCTGGAGACTACCACAAATGAGATCAGCAAGGGTGTCTGATCCAATGCTCTTCAGGTCACTGTGCTTTCCATTAATGAGAGGAAGTGAATGTGGCTTTGTGAAATTGCCAATAAGGTCTGGCTCTTTTGTTGAACGATGGAGTGCTCTTGTGATTGTCACCTCTGTCTCAGACATGCAGCGCTGCAACTGTCGGCCAATTGATCTCTCTGGTATCTGATGACTCTTAGTTGTGAATGAAGAGGATTCTTCTTCAATGGCTGTAAGATGAGCCCTATGTCGCTTCACTTGTACAGGGGAGGAACTAACATCTTCAATTGGCCTCTTCAAACATTCAGTATCACCTGAACTTCTATCAGCAGCAAGGGAACTAGAAACTGTTCCTCCAGTATAGGAAACAGAGCGCTGAAATGTGGGCCTGAGACGTGCAGGTCTACATCTCAGCATTGGCAAAGAACTTTGGGGTTCTTGCAGACTATTAACTTCATTCACATCACGCTCAGGTGCTTCCATTTGGGTGAGATTTTTAATTGGAGCAGAGAACAGGCTGAACATACTTTTATTCTCTGCATCAGCATCTTCTGACATTTCTTCTAGAGCAAGCAGTTCTGAGAATCCATCACTTGTTTCCTCCTTATGAAGCTTGGCTGGAGACATTTCAGATTTACAGGGGGAGGATTGTTTCCCTCGTGATGGAGACATCTCCATCGTTCTCTTACGTGGAGGCAAGCCCAAGGGGAATCTAAATTCCTTCAATGACTCTCCTGACAAGCTACCACCATACCCACTGTCTCGAGAGTCATGATCAGGTTCAAGTGGGTTGCAATTTTCAGAGTCTTCACAAGAAGGTATTCTGAGAGATCCTTTGCCCGAACGGCTACTGAGAGGCGAAGCTTGTCCAAGGTCCGACAGTTGACGAATCCCCAGAGGAACCCTAGTATTGCTTCCTGGATGAAAGAACTTCCCACCTCCCTTGACCAGGCTCAGATTCTCATTGCTTTTACGTGAGATGAATGGACTTGCATGAGTACTAGAGTTCTCATGGACAACATCCTTTTCTGTTACTCCAGAAACATCTTGAAGTTGTGTAGGTGTGGGTGTTCCAGAAACATCCTGAAGTCGTGTGGGTGTGGGTGTTCCAGAAGAGGAGCAAGAGCTATTTAAGGACAGCCTTCGCCTTGGTGTCAATGAGAAACCTAGTTTAGCAGAACTCAAATTTTCAACAAGTTGGCTGATGGGGGAGGATTTGTATTCCTGAGCTTGGATCACATTCTGGAGAAGAGGGGAAGCATGAGCCTCATCATCTGCTACCATACAGAATGGCATTCTACCTCCTCCTCCTCCACGTAGCATTTTCTCCTCAAAACTGGTCCTTCTGCTCCATTTTTATACTTTACATCACAGGTTCTGAATCCTCCCAGGATGATATCACATCTTTGAAAGGAGGAAAAGACATTAAATACACTAATTGCATTAAAACAGATATTTTTGCAAGCAGGTGGAGCTAAAATATGCCAGCTAGCTACAATATCTAGTCTAAGGTAAACACCAGAGCTGCAATATTTTTTTTTTTCAGGATTGGATTGTCATAAATCTCACCTGATCAGTGGGTATATCACTTGATATCTGGAAGTTCTAACTTAGACAATGCCAATTTGAAATGTGCTTGCCTTTGTTTGAACCATGATTTTATGTATTTCATGAAGACGACTTCCTTAAGCATCATCTGAATAAATGCCAGGGATGGCCTAATATGATAAACCTAAACTTAGCCATACAAAAACATTAATTTTGTGCTGAACAAACAGAATGTCCAGAAACATATGTTGAACATTGGGTGTTGGTATTGGTACCAGTTAGGGGTGTGTGGTATTCTGGTGTAAGTGAATGTCATTGTCATGATGAAAGTTGATACAATAGCAACATTGGGGGTAACCACATATGTATAAGTGATGGTAAATAGAAACTGAAAATAAAAAAGAGTATTGAACCAGAGCAGAAAAAATTAGATGGAGATCAAGTCAATCATGAATCCAATACCCATCTCGAGTCATGTCATCATACACACACAGCCCTTCAATTTTTTTTAAATATATCATCTTTAGATTACTTGATCATGTGTCAGATAAAAGCTCCAGCTTTTGAAGAAAAGGGGGACAAGACATTCATTGATTGCATGAATAGTATATTATTCATATGATATTAAGCAATGGGCAATTTAAATCTTCCTTACAATCTATATCTAAGTAAATAAAACAGCATGACTGGCATTCTGGAATCATACAGGTAATCAGGTAATATACAGGGGAGGATCAATGGCCTAGAAAAAATCTTCCACTCTGTTCCATGGCCTCCAATAAAAGTCCTTCCCCTCTGCATTCAGGCACAGACCTAACAGTGTCACAGGAGTTTTTATGCTCACCTAGTAAAAAAAAAAACTGTGACTGCCAGTGACACCACTGCAAATCTGCATTATATTCTTTGTTGTCTCTGTAAAACCACCTCTCACATGTTATGGAGCCATATACATGGAAGCAACAGAACAGAGTTCAGACCATAAAAGAGCTGCTCCAGAATTTTCAAATAAAATTACCTTTGCTGGTGTTCACAGTATCAATAGCTATGCAAGGCAAAGCAATTTCCCAAAAGAGGTTAATGCCATCAGTGTCTGGCCCAACATGCTTACTGTCAATGGCAGGCACAGTTCATTCTTTAACATATTGGAACAGCAGTTGACAAAGACCACTTAGCACACTAATGGAAGTGGAACAACTCAGTATTTCCTGGCTAGGTGTGACCTTCCATGCTTGAATGCTGCTGTTGTATTTATACTTGGGAACAAAATAGTGATACCATGATTCATCCCCTGTAGTAATGCAGTTTAGGAAGTCACCACCTATATATCCTGACTAAAATGTATATGAACAAGGGAAGTAGATTTTGCAGCAACGCAGGCATGCACAATTGTGTGGCTGAAACCATGACTAACATTCAGAATTGTGGCAAAAATGCTTGACACATCTGTTGTAACTCACCAAGACATGGATATCACTGGACCATCATTCACTGCGAAATTATTTGCCCCATTCGCACCATATGGATTTGGAAAAACTGCAGTCACTGTATATAGTGAAAATCCTGCAGCAGATGTATATAAGTGAGGGTCCCTTCAGTCATTGAAAGCTGCACCACAATGCTAAGAATTTATATTAATGGAAATGACATGGAATACCATTTTAACATCTTGCTGCAGATTGCACTGCTACCATACATAACTGCATACCTTGTACTTCACATAAAACATGGATATGTATGACATCCATGTATGATAGGGAAGGACTTTGTAAGGTCAGTGAAAGAGGGTAGGAAAAAAAAAGAAAAAAGAAAGGCTTCTTGGGGGGAGGGGGGTTTCACTCAACCCTTCCTTATGGCTGCATCTCGGAAAATATAAAAAGAGAAACAAGCTTTGGCACTTTTACACTAACTTCTTTCATGCTTTCAGAGTAAAAGCATACTGAGCATTTGTGCAATATTAGGAAATGACTGATATCATTTGAACAAATCCTCACCTATGAACTTCCCACTCCACACCATAGGCCATGTATTTTTTGAGTCAATCATGTGACTCACTAGTAAATGCTTTTGCTAGTTTTTCTGGCTTAGGAAAGTTGATTGTACATAGGGCAAGTGGCAGCCCAATGAGGCATGATTCATTGTCACCACTCCCACCATAGTTTCCTTCCTTTTCCTACTTCTCTCACTTGTCAGTAAGGTATTATTATAAAGAAATGGTATACAGCAAAATTTTCTGGATAGAAAATGCGATTTTCCTAATAAAAAACAAAATGGGTTCTTGATAAAGTAAAAATACACTAATGGCAGTCACCAATTTACTTTTAGTCAAGAAATTGCAGAGGAAAATGGATAATTTATGCTAGAGGAATGCTTCTTTACCTGAGGAAAAAAAAAAAAAGATTCTGACACCATTTCACACAATGACCAGAAGCCAGAACATATAGGATTTAGGGATATTGCTCTAGAATGGTTCACAAGCTCTTTGTCTGGCAAAGAACAATTTGTTGGATATAAAGGCCTATAAAAGATCATATGGGAGGGTAACACATGGGAGTACTGCAAGCACTCATCTTGAGGCCATTGCTTTTTCTGATATACAAAGGGTGTCCCAAAAGGTATAGAAACATTTCAAAACTTAATATCTCACTATGTTGTGCCTCAAATAAAATGATGAAAATAGTATTGATATAATGAAGTGCAACTCAAACATTTTAAAACCTGTTATTGCAATTCCACATGGGCACTATTTGTGGCCCTGTAGACATCCAAACGATGTTCAAGCTCTTACCATAACTTACTCAGAGTGCCATGCATAACTGCCTGGTTAGCAGCAACAATTCTGTTCTCCAGATCAGATTGGAGATTGTTTACTCAAGAAAAGTTGACAATGTCCTTGACATAGCCCCACAAGAAAAAAAAATCAAGAGGGAAAGGTTCAGGTACAATAAAAGTGTAAGTTTCCAAGATGTTGCAACTCCACATTTTAGCAAGCTAAGGTACGGAAAAAAACCCAGATGTGTGGATTGGACAAAGCAGGTTCATTCCATGGCCACCAAGATCACCTGAACTAACCCTAGAGGACTTTTTCTTGTGGGCTGTCAAGGACATCACTTACTGGAGAAAAGTAGACAATCAAGATCCAAAGAACAAAAATCGTCCAAGCTATCCTGATAGTTATGCCTAACACTCTGCAAAAGGTGTGGTAAGAGCTCAAACATCGCTTAGACATCTATAGAATCATAAATGGTGCCCATGTGAAATCACAATAGCAGGTTGAAAAATGTTTGAGTTGCACTTCATTTAACTGTTATAATCATTTTATTTGAGGCATAATCTAGATAGATATTAATTTTTTAAATGTTTCCATACCTTTTGGGACACCATGTATATTATACTTACTGGAACTTGGTGGATCACTTGCTACTTGGGGACCAGGGCATTTAGAATTGGTTTGCAGTGTAGGGAAAATATTTTTTTTTCCTGCGAACTTGAGGTGACCAATTGGAATTTCCCAGGAAGGACATGCAAGTGGACTAAGCGGGTTGGGCCGACCCCTCCTGCCTACTCATCTCCATTCCCGTGAACCTCATTCGCAGGTTCACGAGAGTTTTCCTAACATGAAACCAATACACTGAAAGCTCCATTTCACAGTCAAGTCGCTTTGCTTTGATAACCGGTTTTGGCCAGAAGAGTCATTTAGTAGAAAGTACGCATTAGCACTGGTCAAGCTAAAGGTCTTCCGACCTTGACGGCTCCTAGACATCACTTCTTACAGAAGCTTGCACAGTGATGGTGCCATTTATTATTTGGGCAATAGGATAAGTTTCTTTGAAATGTGGCCAGCATCAGTTAAAAGGTGGGAGGCTATATATTCAATACAAACAAGAAGGAACAGAAGGGTATATTGGCGTTGCATTCATGAAGGTGCTCTGTGGCCACTACTAGGGATAGAATGGATTTAATAAAACGGCTATCTAAATTTCATGATCATGCTCCCGACAAAGGAGAAACAGTGAAGAACCATCAGAAGCAAACTGAAGGAAGTGGCTATGAGAAGCACAAAACATGCTGCTGCCATTACTGAAAAGATGCATACCTGGACCAGATGGGCAATTCACTTCATTTGACTTTCAAAAGCAATTATGGCAAAGGTTTAAGAAAAAAATTATACCTAGTACCAGGCTTTTCTTCTCAGAACAGGCGCCAAGGATGCTTGTTTTCATTCTGCAAAATGGTATCATTTCTAGGAAACAATTGTTCAGTGAAAAGGTCTTGTCTGTGAAATGTCCCCAACCCCCTACTTGTGATTTCCACTAGTCTATAACCACAATTAACAAGGAAGTTCTCATGATACAAATTATGTGTCTACAATTACCTTCATTGGGATAAATTTTTAGGGCTAAAGCGTGTGAAAATAGATATTAGTAACAATTATTAGTATGAATAGCTTTTTTTTCTATATCAGAGTATCAGTATATTGACCACAGTTTTACAACAGATACTAGAATATCTTACCTCTGAAAATAAGTTCTATTTCTGAGAAAAAATGACAATTTAAAAAATACTTTGGTAGCCAGGGTTCACATTAACATGCTATCGTCAGGGACTTCCTATAGCAAGTCCCTGACTCATATTTGCATTTAAGTCTGTGGGACTCATTCACAACCACCTGAACATGTTCCCATTGAGCTGAGCCTAGGCACCAGGACTCAAGATTTAAAAACGCTAGTGTGAACCCTGCAAACTAATCAATTAACAGGCTAATAACCAAGTAGTCC